CTAAGGTCATTAAGCCATGCATAAAAATGCCATAAGAGATCAAATCATTTCAGAGTAATGCAAAAAAGAAACAACTCCTACAGTTCACATAGACTTCAGTTTTCCCTCTTGATTATACTGGAGAATGAGTATACAACTAGGCTGCTAGCTGAGGAGATGGACAGGAGAAATGAAATACAAATAGCCAACTCCTATAATATCCAAATTGAATGATCAAACAATCATGGCAAAATGTCAGTTGATGATCTTGTCAGATCAATGTTAGTGATGTGGTTTTAAAAGGCTTTTAGTCAGAGGAAAGCTATTTCAGAGATAACTAATGTGTGGGGGAAGAGAGCAACAGAGATAATTAAGAGAGATATAATTTCAGTGCCAATGAATTTGTTTGACAAACTGTTTCTTGGCCCAATCAAAAAATCTTTGGAAATAAAATCCCCGCACTTCCAGTCTACATTCTCCTGGTAGAATTACTTTGTTGTTAGAGTCCAGGTCACAGAACAACAACAAAAAAAAAAAAACACACATCAGTGCAAGAGCTTACATTCATTTCTTCAGCATCATCATCATGAGCTGGCAGTAACAGGAGCAAAGTTTTCTACTATGTTCATGGAGCCATCACACTTGAATGTGGATCTCGGACATGCGGTGAGTGAACTACTATTGAAACACAAGCCATCCAAAAAATTTTGTACCGAAACATAACCACACAAAGGCAAAATAACTTCTGTGAGCGGTATCTCATACTGAATGATGTGTGGTCACACAAGAACATGGTACTAGCAGAGAGAGTATACGAACCTCTGTTTCTTTTATTGCTAAGGTGCTTCAGCAAAATAGGTCTGGCTCCGGCTCTAGAAATCATGGAATAATTATTGAAAATACCAGTTCATCTACAGATAGAGCCAGTAACTTGATGTCTGTACCTTGCATTATGTGCTTTAGAACCTACTTATATTACCCTGGCACTGGTGTAGCAATCATTAACATTTTAGCTTTATCCTGCTTGCTGAACACTTTAAAAAAGTAGCAGCAAGTGGAAGAGAAATAAATTAGACAGCTGAGACATGGAAAAAAAAGCTTGGAATCAAAATCCTGGATGAGAATACCCCCCACACAGGCATTGGCTCTGTGGCCAACTCTAATCATTACCAGTTTCTTTTTAAAAGCCTGAGCCTGAAAGAACTGATGTGTTATGAGACAGTCATGACCTAAGTAAACTCCAAACAAATCATTCATCACTGCAAAACGCCAGAACAAGCTGGTACTTTGTCAGAGAACAGTGTTCTTCTAAACACACATTATACATAAAGAGGAAGCAGAAAGCACATACTGTAGGCTTTCATCAATTGTACACAAACAAAGCCTTTGATAACTCTCTGAATAGGCTTGAGATCATTATGCCTGGAGCCAACAAGCTCTCAGTAGTTTAAGAGCTCATTTTCCAAACTTTTGGTCAAAAGGATCTTTTTAAGTGCCGAGGAGAAAGAAACACTTTTTCCTTGAATATCATCCTGTTCACAATACCCCTACTCAAATCCTTACATGCATTATCATTTTCCGTACCAAATTCAAACTTCACAGCCACAAGGTCTGGAGCAGGAGGTGCTCACCTACATCAATGGCCACGTTTTCCATTATGCATTCTTCCCTTTCATGGCCCACATTGTTCCTGGCACAGTTAGCCTTTTCCATTTCTCTGGTTCTTTCCTGCCTTCCTGTCACTCAAGCCTACCAAAAACACTGTGCTAATTTTTTTTTTTTCTTTCCCCTTTTAAAATAATGTACTCAAAGACATGAAAAAATTCCTATGCAGATGCAGGAAGGTAAGGAGAGGACCAAGGAAAGGACCAACGATTTATGTTCTGCAGCACACACCACAATACAGTTAACTGCAATGCTTTTGGTTTAAAGGCACACCAACATGCAAGAACCACACGGTTAATTTAGGTTAAAAGAGAGTGCCCCATTCTAAAGAGAAACTACTTCTAAATAATGGAGTGCTTTTACACCAGAAAGACTGTTTTAGTGTAACCAGCTTAATCTATTTGAAAGAAACCCCTAGATCTGTCTGAACTATTAAAGAATACAACAGATTTGAGTCCTTAATTGTGGTGAGTTTGTTTTAGCTACTTTAGCAGCTTTGGGTAATAAAGAAATAAAAATGTTATGCATTGAATTTAGCATCACACTGTTTATAAAAATTATGAGAAGCAATCATTTCATCAAGGTGTTTGAACTTCTGGCTTGCACATCAGTACCCCAGGCCCAAAGGTTTGTTTTGTTTGTTTTGGTAGGGCTTATTTTTTCCCCTTCAAGAAGTGTTATGTAATAAACAGTAAGCAACAAAAATGTACTTAACACCATGGCATCCTGTAATTCACATTAGCAGCTGCACCAATAATTACAGCCCTTCTCAGGTAAAACCTCACCAATTTAAATGAGCTTCCCCTGAGCAGGAAAGGATTGAAATCCCTTTGAGCAATAGCGGTATCAACAGAAGCCTTTACAAGTGTTAAAACACAGTTTGATCTCCAGGGTATACAAACGTTACCTGCTGATGACTGAAAGAGCATGATTTCAAGGCTCTGGATCAAATTCTATTGAACGTTGGCTGTTATTTTCCTACATGTATTCAACAGAAAGGGGTCAGTTCTATCCTAACCAGGTAATCATTTCAGCATTCCAGTGTTTGTAAGAGGGTTTTAACCGGCCATGCTTTTTGTTTAAGAACAATCAATTCCCTTTCGCTGCCTGAGATTCCCTGTTTTCTAAGAGAACCACTTACCAGCAAAATTTGAGTCATCCCCTTACAGAAAACAGCATCAGTTGTTCATTTATGAGACAGGCCTAGGGGACATCACAGGTTTTCGGAACCAGATCTTTGCTTCTGTCTAGGCAAGGGATGGCTAAATATAGAATCACAGAAAACAGGGCCAGTGGGGACTGATGGGGCCATCTACACCATCTCCTAATCTCAAGGTGGGAACAGTTCTGCCTAAACAATTCTTAGCAGCTATTCCTCTGACTTACTCTTAGGAGACTCCATTCATAAGTTTCCATAATACCTCCATGAAATTATTAGAAAGTTTCTTTTACATCTGGAATGTATCTCTAGTTAAACACAGTATTACTACTTCTATTTTTCAGACTTTAAGCATATAATACATTCCTAAATCTGGCAGTGTATAAATTGAAATGTTTTACTTCTGATAGCACTCTTTCTAAAAATGCAGCAGAATAGTGGCATGTCGTTTAAGACTTGCCCTACACTATTGCAGCAGCTGAGTTCTACAGTACTCAACCATTTATGTCAGGTTATCTGGACTGTCCAACAAAAGCTAATTTACAGTAGGAGGTGTCTTCAAGAGGCGCCATTAAGTCTAGAGACATGCGACTTTCTCCTTGGACATCAATTTAACAAGATCATGGTGTATAAGGGTACTGCATCTTTCTGAGAGAAGTGCAAGGCTTTTTACCCCTCTAAAAAAATAAAGCCTTTTTTTTTTCCTATTTTCTATTCCTCTTGGCTAACACACAGTAAGGTTTTCTAATTACTGTTGTTAAGGGAAGGCAAGAAAATTTAATTAAAATATAGATACTTGCAAGTAAGCAGCTAGTACCTCTTTTTTAAATTCACATTCAAATCAAGAAGGTAAACCATCTAAGAACCATGAACATTATTAAAAGGTAAACAAACCCCACATCTTCATAGAAAATGAACATAAAAGATTGTGAATGCAATAAAACTAAACTGATTTTCCTAATACAAATAATAATTATCATTTCCTTAATGTGCATTCTTTGTTTAGGTTTTTTTATTAAATCAAACTATGATCACATACTGACCTGCCCAAATGTGATTCAGGTTCACTAGAGCATAAATCCACAAAACTATAAAGTCACATATTTTCCAGATAAAATAACTGTAGTTCACTTCTGGTTTTACCAAGCCTTCTTTGATGCATGACAATATCTTAATTCTTATGTATAACATTGCTTTTTTATGACTCCGATATCAGTTACTCATACTGATAAATGTTAAATATTAATTTAGGGATCTATATTGCAATCTGTTCATAACTTAGTAGAAAGACCAACTTCCAGAGATATTTATATGCCTAAGGAAGCCAGGAATTGGCTGGGAGAACCCAAAAAGAACAGGCTTATGTCACCATCTGCAAGTGCTTGACTACTCTGAAAACCTTACCACCTGCAGCTAAGTGCATCAGAAAGCTTACATCCCAACATGAAAGCCCCTTCTGGACCAGCTGGTGTGGGTGGGTTCTACAGGTACTTACAGGTGTGTTGTATCACAAAACAGCAGGCCAAGAAGAAGGACGAAAGAACTGAGTACTACATGAAAATCTGCTCAGAACTTCTAAGTGTGGACCTTTTCAATCCATAAGAACTGATAAGAATCAGAACACCAAGAATGAGTTGAATCTGTAGATTACCAGCACACACTAGCATCAACAAGTATGTATGTAACTTAGAGCACATCAATGAAGGCAGTGCTTGCTATTTATAAACAAAGACTATAGGATCATGAGAACACATGATGAACCAAATGACCTTCTGAGTTCTTCCTGAATACCAACCCAGAAATGACCTGATGCACTAGTGACACTTTCCACTTGTGAGTAAACAAGTGTCTTTGTCCCCCAGCTGTTGCTCCAGCCAAGTATTAGGAGTGAAAACTGTGTGAGGGAATAACTGCATATACTGTATGAATAGTTATCTGCTATTAAAAGGAACAGCTTGGTTCTATTAATAATAACTGATGAATTAATAAAAGGTGTTTTAATTAGTACTGGTTGTGATCTATGTCTCCCTCAACTCAATCCCCTAGCAGGGAAACAGGAATTTATAGCACTCCTTGTTCTGATGCTCACTACATGAGCGCCTCTACTTCTACCCAACAGGAGCAAGTACTGCTAGCATGCCCATGCAAGCTTCAACAGGGAGAAAACAAACATATGTTGTTATTTTAAAATACTTACTTGGTAGGGATATAAAGTGACACCATTTGTTCTTGACAGAGACCAGGTGCCATCAAGAAACTGATGAGCCTGGATCGCCACAGAGTTGAGAACATTACCATTGCTAGGGCTGGTGGCCATTTGAAAGCTGACCTTGGCTTGGTGTCCAGGAGAGCCATTTTTCTTTTCCACCCCGTTGACAATTCCTAGACTGTTGGGTTTTCCACTGTGTTTGTTGGCAACAAAGCCTGTATAATTAGATGTAGCAAAAGGAGCAGGCACGTATGCCCAGTCCCTGGGCTGCAGGCTGCCCATGTGCCGGGGACTGACTAGTGTGGGCGTATTGGAGAGAGGTGGGGGAGAGCCTGGTGAGGCATCATAATGTTCTGAGTTGGCAGCTTGCTCTAAGGTCAGCACCATTTGAATGGCCTCTTGCTTCAGCTGGTTCAGGTGTGTGGCACAAACATCACATCTGTTGTCCTTCTCATTCCATGCCTTACGAATGGTATTAGGAACTTGGAGCTTGTCATGAATCACCAAAGAGAAACCTGGGTCCTAAAAGAGAAAAAGAAAAAGAAAATCAAACAGAGAAGGGAGGGGGGACAGGAGAGAAATGTTTAACCATGGTCACCACAGTGAAACATTATTACCGATGATTGTGATTTCAAAAGCCAATTTATGAGATAAGCTTAGAATGCAAACAAAGGCCATTAGATACAAGTCAACATATGCCAGCAGCAGAGCTGAACAAAAATTAGAAACTAGATTGTGTTGGAATGAAAAAAAAATCTCTTACTTTTACTGATAAGTGGCAAATATTATAATTCCACTGCAAGCTTCAATGCATGGCAGTGAGGGAATTAACCTGCTTCACACCACTGCACCTAATTTCTGGCTTGAATAAAATCTATTCTTAGTTACACAGGTGAGATCAAGAGCAACTTCACTAAAACCAGTGGACTTGTAGCAAGGTTCACAAATCCATCTACTCATCAGTGCCAGCTTTTGGTACTCAAAATCCAGGAAATTATCTGCACCACAAAATGTAAAATTTCAAAGCCTGCCTGTAAAGAGAAAAAAAATTAAAAAGCAGAAGTACCATCAGTCTCCCAAAATCCTTTTCAGAATTCAAAACAGATGGATATTTGATAGTTTTCAAGAGCTTTTCATAATTTCATTTACCAAGAACACACTCTTCAGGTAAAATAAAAACCCACTCTTTTCTGTTAATGAAGTGTTTTACCACCACTCCCATTATCTGCCAATAATGTAAAATAAAATGATAATGTTATTTAGAAAATAGAACACATATAGGTTCAATAATTTGTAAACAATTTCCCTATTGGAAAGCATAGTTTCGGTGCAAAGCCCCATAATCAGGTTTCAAACCTGTTTCAAATCGTTCCCTTACAGGTAGGCTTTGAATATCTCCAAAGAGCGATATGCCACCCTGCTATGACTACAGTCAGTGAATGCTGGCCCAAATTGCAAAGTGCTTCAACAAGTTGTGAAGCCAAACAGCAGCCTTGGCAAGGGCTTATCACCAAACTTGCCAGGTCTTACTGTATCATGCAGTTTTAGAAATAGACAGCAATTATGTGTGTGCTACGCATAATGACAGTTTTGTGATAGAAATCTCACACTGCATTTTTGTCACTTTACAGACCAGGGAGGGTAGACTTCACCTTCCCCTCCTTAAGTTTTGGAGACCTACTAGTAGATTTTCTTGTGATTTCTCAAAAAGACTTACAATCAGGAGCATCAAAATCTTTATTATTTTTCTTTGGTCTTCATGTTTGTGGTTTTAGCAGCAAACTGAGATCAGACTGAAAGTAGGGGGGTGTAATAAAAAAATTTCACAAATGAAAACCACCCTTCATCAAGTAATTTGATGAACCCCATGCTATCCAAGATAGACAAATTTCATGTCTCAGTCATTTGGCTGCACTGGGAAAAAATCGGTAGGGGGTATAATACACAGAGGGAGAGAATTCATTGGTAGAGGGTCATATTCACTATGAACCGTCCTTACTATATGCTCGAGCATTTTATTTTCACTGTTTAACTACCGTGAACAGCTCCTCAGCATGCAGTGATTAATTGATTCATAAATCATGGTGCCTCTTTACATGCAGCAGCAAAAGAGCAGTTCTAGCCCCAGAAGCCCAAGAGAGTCATATAAGCTGATGGGAAACAACAGGAGGCTGAGATCTGATCAAGCCTCAAGCTGGTCATTTCTATTCTATGCACAAAGGAGGTCAGAGCATCAAAGTGTGTCAGGAAGGCAAGAACTGGATTCTACACCAACCCTCCCCCCCTTAACCTTCGGGAAAAGGACTGATGGAAATCAGTGGGGAAAAAAACAGGATGAAGAAGATGTCAAATCTTATTTTCTATCCCAGACCATAACTAGGTCAGCAGATCACATCAGATATAGGCACTCCATCCATGATGCCAGGTATGCAGGGAAAGGACTCTACTTTTTCCATAATAAGCTAGACAAAGCTACCTATATAGCTGAAGTGAGGTATGAGTCTTCTGTCCAGGCTGCTCCATCTCAGTCCAGGAAAAATCCTTGCCAGCTCTTCCTTCAACGAGCTAGTATCACAGAGTTAGCTGCTGTTCCTGAAAGTTAACTTCCCTTAGGCAACTGAGCTTGAACCCAGGTAATTATATAAAACATTCAGATCCAGCAGCAGTCCAACATGGAAATTCCTGGATACTGTGATAAATATGCCAAGGAAATAAAGCCTCCTCTAACGTAAGCAAATGTCAGCATGATATAAATATTCAAGGAGCACACTAACTTTAAAGAGTGCTGGACAGCAGTGAATTCAGCTTCATCTCAGTGTTAAAACAAACATCAGATCATTCTCTGATACAACAATAAACAGAGGAAAAAGAGAGAGAGGGAAGGAGGAAGACTGGTCCTCCTTAGCAGCAGAGAGGAGGAAAACACAACTTGAATATATTATTCACAGGATTGGCCCTACTAATCTATCAGACCCTGCCAGATGGATAGCTGAACACTAGATCCAAGTCTAGATTATGAAACAGAAAAGCCTACATGACAGCAAATAAATTTGGAGAAACTCAGGTTCCAGAAACACATTAGTCACATTTTGTTCTCAAAACAAACCTGATAGAAGCTTAAAAGAGTTTATTTTTTTATTCTACACTGGGCAGGTCTATTATAATTTCACAGAAGAATCAGTTGACAGCCTTGCAACACATTTAGCAGGAAGGAGGCCAAAGCTGGACAGTCACTACACCCTTGCTTGAAGCAGGGAAATGCAACTGTGCAGCACTTTCAGTATTTCATATGCAAGCCATCATCTGCACACATTGCCTGAGGAATCCTTATTAGTTCAATAAACAGCATCTTCTCCTGTAGGCATACAACTGTATCCTCTCCCATATGAAATAGTGACGGGCAAGCCTCACTGGCTAAGCACTTTGAGCTTGCTGCAAACAGGCAGCAGGAGTTGGAAAGATACTACTGAATTTTGTGAGGTCTAAGAAACTCCATACTCCCTGGCATGAGATTTGCTTGTGAAATCTGAGGCTGACACTAGAAATACTACTTATGTTTTGGCACTCATTTCCAGTCCTGACAGAAGAAAGTACAGTGACATCAAAAACTGAAGCAGAACTTTAAAAATCACAAAAGGATTTGGTTTGAGTTCAGGGCAAAGGTTCACGATGCTTTTTCTCTTATTGCTGTAATGGTTCACCCATCTTCAGTATAAACAGCATTACTGTAAACTCCTGTTCCTATAATAAACAAATGAAGGCCTGTAAGAGGTCTGAAAGCTCCAGGAGATCAGTCACACCACAGACCACAGCATAAATGCCCAAGGCAAGCAGTGAACTAAGCAGTGCACACTGAGCTTTATTGCAAGGAGCTTTTTCACATTACCTTTGAGTTTTCAAGCTCAAGTAAACGGCAGGTTCCAGCTATGTTTGGTTATTTATCTTCTCCACTGTAACCAGCTAGTAATTAATCCCTCACCTTTGGTCCTGAACTAAAACCCTGCATGGGAAAGACAGAAGAGGGAAGGATGTTTTGCTTTTTATAGAACCATCAGACAGGTATGCTAAGGAATTCTTGCTTTACCTGGTGAAAAACACACGTGGTGAATAGGCACTAGTTAAGAAGCACTGAAGTACACAGACAGCTCTAGGAGGGTAAATGCAGTTCTCACCTCATAGAGGAGGAATGGCTCTACCATATGAACATGTAAGGTAATGCAGAAGCATCCTCCTCTCTTTTGTCTCCCTTTGTAAATCTGTACCTTGCTGTACTTTTCACAACATGAACTCCACTACTAAGAAAGCAGATTACAAAAAGAATAATCATTTTCTTCCTGCTACCCAGGTTGGTGCCCATCTTCCTCAACAGAGAAAGTAAAGAACCACTTTCAGCATGAAGCATAATGTTTCACACATACCTTTACACAAGGCTCAGAAGAAGACATGATGAAAGCAGGCAGAGCCCAACTGGTAGACAGAGCAAGCAAGAAATAGGATGAGCAAAGGCACTTTTATGTGTTACACAGGACCTGGCTGATCACACATTTCTACACAGACACCTCATGCTACTTTTTCACAAATGTCCAGCAGGCAGACACTAATACAGGACATTCTCTAAGATCTGTCCACTGCTGTATTTGATTTGGTCAACTATAGCCTACCCAGGTCAGACATTGCAACCCTATGTCATTACTCTACCTCAGAGAAATCTCAACTATACAGTGGATCTCCAGACTTTATCAAATTGAGTTCTTCACCACCAATATTATCCATTGCTCTTCAGGGCAAAACAAAACAGTTAATACTAACTAAATCACAAAGGTCAGCTTCTGCATGAAGATGCACACAAAAGACTCATGGAGTTCTTTTGTTTCTGAAAGGGTCCAAGCAGCAATGAATGCTGGTATGTAATCCATCAAACAAGGTAAGGGAAGAAGCAGGGGAAGGCAAGGATCAAAGTTCTGCCCAGGAAGAAGTTTTCCAGACTCTTACTCTCCACAGGCAAGGAGCGAGAGAACTAATTTAGAAACACTAGTAAGAGGGAAGCTTTAAGCCTGATAAAACCCACACTTTTCCATGACTATGCAAACATCTCTGCTCTAAATACAATCCTGTTAGTCCATGGTTGGTCTCTATTTAAAGAAAAAAATCTCCTCTGTTCTCCTTTCTCTCTTGAGGGTGTATTTTCCAGCCCAATAAAGAGATTATACTTGTAAATTTACTTTCCAGAGGCACTTGGGCTCTTTTCCAAGTGACACTGCACCCTTACTTAAGTATATCCAATCACTTTGTAGGCTACATTTCAGAGATTTGCTGTTTCCAGCATTCGAGAGCCCCAACAGCTGAAAAACAGCTCCTCACTGTTAGAACAGTACACTTCTGTTAAAACAAAAGTATGTCCAAATAAACTGAAGTCAATGTGAGTTTTTCCCCCCTCAAATAAGCACATCAGGATATACACTATGACTATAAATTAGTAGTACTGTACCCATCAAACTGAGCTGGGAACCTTGGATGAAAAT